CTCACAGCCCCGATTTGGAAGCAACCAACTCAAACCACTCAAATGGGTGGCTCTGGACTGCGAAGTGTGTTTGTGGCCATCGGGATTGTGAAGGGTGCTTGTGGCCATAGGAATCCTCACAACCATCGCGCTAGCTGGGGGTAATGGAGCCGAAGGTGCTCCAGAATCAGAGTTGTTTCGCCAATAGGAATGATCTGCACACGCCAAACAATCCAAAGCTCCAATCCGTAATCCTAGTCTCAAGACGGGGGCTCTGAGTTCTAATCCGTAATCCGCCCCAAACCGGACAATCCGATAGTTTGCAATCCGTAATCCCCCTTAGGATTAAGGATTACGTTTGATGAGGCCAGTGTCAGAAAGTAGAATCTGAGAGGATCTGAGAGGTATTTCCGAGAATTCGGAAGGTCATGCCCTGCACCTGAGGTTCCTCAAAGGCACTCTTGGCATCTCCAGTTTGGGGGGTTCCCTGTGCTGTTAGGGCGAAAGGCACATGGGTGGAACACCACCAGACCGGCCTAGCAGATGAGGCGACCTCAAGCAACACCTCCAACTGATGGAGGACGAATAAGAAGATATATGATATGTGGAAATACACTGCCGCAGCACGGCAAACCCTTTATGTTTTACTGGCGCTCTCCATTGTCCTTCACGACCACCCGTACCGTACCCAGCAAACCGAAGGCGGCGTCCCTCGCGCGGCCTCCTCGGCGCAGGAACTCATCATGGCCTCGCAGAGCCTCTTGTTCGTGTTGAGCATACTCTGGGCGTACTGCGAGGAGCACATATTATACTTGTCACCACCTGACAAGTGCGCACGGATGCTCATGGAAACTCACAGAAACGACGGTTGGCATGGTCCACGTTGGCAAGCAAGACCCTGGGTTTGGAGACATGCTGAAGCAGCTGACTACTTAAGATCTTGGAAGTGTACCTTGAAAGGCCTTGGTTTCTGTCTCTGTCTTTGTCACTTCCGGTCAATTTGGCTCAGCCAGTGTTTACACCTATTCACCTGGTAGTCTTCAAGAGCTCTATTCTCGGTGTCGATGCAAGTGACCTCGCGATACTGCCTTGGCCAATTCTGAAGCAATTCCCTGCATGTCCCACCCACCCAAGCCACCGTTCCCTGTTCCCTGCAGGTTTGGGTGGTCTCATCCATGTGTTGTGCCGCGACCAACTCGACTTAGGGGCACTGTGAGCCAAGCCCTGGGTTGCCATAACGAGGTTTAGATCCTTTCAATCAGTCCGACAAGGAAACATCAGGCCAGCCCGGAAATGTCTGCAATATGGAATAGTTATATAAACAGAACCTATGCATTGAATTGGGTTGACGTGAACTGGGACTTATACACTTCAAACGACGACTCAAAAACTAGAACTGGCTGGCCACAAGGCAGTCTGCCACGGGCAGTCTGCCACGCCCTGTGGATGAGGGGTCTTCCAACTTAAGTGTTAATTAGGATGATGTTTATTAACACTTAGTTTGTAATCCAACTAATTAACAGGTCCGGTCTTCCAACTAATGAACTTGGGTTCTTGGAAGTTGGCCCGGAAGCTCCACTCCGACACTCACGGACAAGCATGGTATGACATGATGTATGATGTATCTTCTCACCCGGCAAGGTTCAAAGGAAAGAACCGGAAACGGGTGTCTAAAAGTTCCCTTTCTTTACCAGAAACTCCTGAACTCCTGCTCTTTGCCCCAGCCATTTCAAGCCAAGTGGCTTGGACCCTCCATGCAGTTGTTCTTGATATGATCCAAGAGCTCATCCATTTCACCCTCCAAAACCTGTGCCGACGCGGCGAAAACCCAGACCGAGGTTCCGCGAGAAAATAATGTCTATTGATGATTTGTGGGCCCCTGGCAGGGGCTAGGAAGTGCTTCCTTTTTTCAAGGTGCTTGCTTGCCAGTCAGCCCAAAAACGACGAAAGGATGATAGCGATTCCTTCCTATGTCTGGAGAAAGGCCGTCCTTCGTTGTTTGGGGGATCCAGCCCCAGCGGCTGGATCCCCACCGGCACGTGGTTTTGGGACCGTCGCGGACCGTGAATCACCAGGACCTCACCGCCGTGCCCCCCCGTCGATCGCGGGGATAGCGAGGGAGCAGTCCGGTGCGGATCGCTGAGCGGGTCCGCCTTCTTGTGCAACTTCAAGGTCTCGCACCTTCACCGAGGGGGGGCTAAAAGAGATGGGCACACCACCATCCATCCAATGGATGCGGGGACTGTATTATATACGCCAAAACGAGTTGTGCGTTGTGAGTGCCAAATCCGTGGCCCAAAAAGTGAGACCGGATCTTCTGGCTCTGCACGCGACATTTGGGGCGTTCTTCCCGCACAGAACCCGCGAAACACGGCACGAATCCAGGCGGGCGAGTTAAGCAAAGGAAATGAGAAGAAAATCAAGGAACATACAATCAGTATATATAATAGAACATACCTGGGCCCCCCTAAGGGCCTAAAGGGGTGTCTGATAATAGCTCCTTACAGAGGTTAAGGGGTGTCCATTAACCACCCCTAAGGGGGGCCCTGGTATTAAAAAACAAATAGGACCACAGGAGTCTCCTCGGCACCTTCCGGACTTCACCAGACAGTGGAAGTCCGGGTTCCCGTTGACGGTCTTGTGCTCCACGAGATTCTTGTGCCACCGTGCCGGGGTGTACCACTTCTCACAGCGTTGCTCGGAATTCCGGTATTCCATGGCCCGGCATTCCTGGGCACGCCAAGTCACTTAGAGCGCTGAGGCTGTTGCTGCGCTGTTTTTGACCCACGTCCACACGATGACTTGTTGGAGAAGAGGAAAGATAGAACACTACACCAACAACAAGACTCTAGCTTGTGGGCGTTGTTCTTGCATTCTTGCTAGCTACTCGTGTTCATCAGAATTCATTCGCTGAGCTTTTGCTGATTAGCACCTGCTTGGAAGGTAGGAAGGGGCCCAAAATAGGTCCAAAAGCTCCCATGGCTGCGCCAAGCGTCAGCCTCCGCCTCGCACTCCTTCTGGCATTTCTCGCTGCTGATGCCGTGAATCACCTTCGCCTTCTTAGGCACCAGATTGGTGTCCTGGCCCATCCGTATCCGCGCCGCGCCGCCGAGGTGGGTGTTGCTCTTCTTCCCCAGGACCCGGGTTCAAGGGCCCAACAACGGACGAATTCGACGGCAGAAGGGCCCGGGGGGGGCGGTTTTCCTTCAGATCCTCTGGATGGGACACCCGTGGTGGCTCGTCTGCTCCGTGCTTCCGGGGGGCGGTCTCCACATCGAGTGCTACCAGCAGGGGTTACCAGCACTGCTGATGGAAGAACACCTACACCGCTAAGGTGTACAAAACACGCTGGGGTCCCTGTATGGGTAATATGACAGAATCCCGTCTGAGCTGGTGGAGGAGATGGAGAACTTCAGACAGTTCAAACGAGGGTCACCGCAAGATGGTCCGGGACGCGTTTCCACGCGATTCCGATGACAATTCATCAAGCCTTTGGTCATAAAGGCGCTGCTGGGCATGGATCATGATCAAGTCCTATGCCTGCTAAGGTATGCTAGTTATGGATCCTGTCCACAGCCCAAGCAACCTGCCTCTGGGCTCATACGGCACACACTGCCCAAGCCTGCAGAGGTGCTAAGTCAAGAGGGTCAAGGGAAAATGACTCGCAACCTTTTGGCGGTTGTTGCCGTTGGCACCTCCGAAATCGTTTGAATGTATCATTGAGGCACGTTGAGGCTGTCAGCATGGGGAAAGCTTCGAAAGGGTACTTTTCGTCTGCGTTCTCTAGTGCGGACACAGACGCCGCTCGAGCTTCCACTGGAAGAGTGGACGGTGGTGACCATCCACAAGCTGAAAAATGCCAAGGCCATCTACATGGACTGCACCACCGGGTCTTCTTGCCCCAAGCCGCACAAACAAACACAAACTCTTAAAATATCGTTGTCGTATGTTGTCGTTTACAAGTGTATACATGGAATACAATTGATAAGACTGCCATCCTCTTCAGACTTCAGACCCATCTGCTTTGGAGGTACCACCTTCCCCTTCCCAAAAGGCCCAAAACCCTCCACCAAGACCCCTCCAGCAGTCGCTTCCTTCCCCCCCCGCGCCTAGAGAGATCAAGTACTCCGACTTCTCGCTCAGCACCTGCGCCTCTAAGCCATCTCGCGCACCCCGCATGGCCAGGCTGTTGGCAGGCCGCGTGGATTGGTAGACGGTCACGCCCACCACGGTGCTCATGATCACACCCACCAAGACCTCGATTTCTGGACGTGCTCTTCGCGTGAAGAAACTTCTTCACATCCGCACCTGCACACCAAAAAGATCCAAAAAGACAGGGAAGGGTTGGCCTTTGGGATCCTTTCTGAGAGGTGTGACTCCTCTAACCTCCCGCTTTTACCTGGTCCTTCCATGTTCAAGCCTCCTTCCCTCACCGCGAACACCCGTCCCAGCGGCTGCAGCCATGGCGTTCTTGAAGGCCGGGGAGTTGGCGCTGGGCGGCTGGCTGAGGAGTGTGGAATCCGACTCATCCTCCACCTCAATGGCCATGTTCCTGGCAGGACGCAGGATTCGGGACTCGAAAGCAGCCCAGCTTGCTGAAGGGGTTGCTTCTGCGGCGTGCAGGCAGCCGCATAGCTTTTGGAAGGGGTTGCCCTTTTGGAGGTCTCCAACCCCACACTGCATTTCCTGGCCATAGCTTTTCGAGGTGATCCAGTGCAGGGCTGACAGTGGAAAGGAAAAAAGGACAATGGTCCTGGTAGTGTCATGGCAATCCGGCAGTAGGACGAAAGTTCATTGGTTCTCGACTCCAGTCAATACTATACTAAGTGCGGAGCTTCAAACAGCCATGGTAAATGTCAGCTGTGTGCATTGCAAAGGCTCATTTTTGCGGCAGTGCTCAAGTCGGCGCAGACACCACAAATCATGGCACTTTGGCCTGCGGCTGGACTCGTGCCTTGGCGGGTATAGTTAATCAGAAGTTAATCAAGTTCTGAATCAAATTCGTGGCAGGTGCTAACAAAAATCAAGTAGACAGTAGAATCCAGTTCTGAATCTGTTAGATGATGAGGCTGGTAAAAACGATCTTGTGATGTCTGCGTTCTCATCGTCATGCGATATGGCTTTGTTCAAAAGGAGGGGCATCTCTGAATTCCAGCTGGTGCATCGTCATGTTGCATAATTTCCCAATTATTTGTACTACTCCTGGCGGCATTTTGTGTACTGTACCCCATTCATGGACAAAGCCATATAATATGAATAATGACCTGCCCAACACATAAGGAAGTGCACCGGCTCAACCAAAGCATCCTATGAGAAAGTCACAATGCTTGAGATGAGTTTGAGACTCTGATCTCAAACTGATTGGTGGCTGGGCTACCCCGTGCAAGATATGATCGTCAATTGGCACCATCCTTCGAAGCAAGATGGGGAAGTTTCCCAACACGTCAAATAACTAATGACTAAAACCACCAACCAGTAGAGATGCGAGTTGTAATGTTTTCATGTTTGTGCGTTCGAGCCAGGTCATGCTACTCAAAGTAGGCCCTGAAGGGACCTGACATATCAGGGGCATCTTGCAGGTTAGATATGCTTGCCCTCTTTACAGGTTTGCAGCGTATCATCTGACAGGTCAAAGTAATCAGGAAGGCATTTGGGAGATGGCTCAGGCTGGGCGGTGATCACGAAGTGATCTGCTTTGGTCACGACGCTTCCGAGGGTCGGCGGCCCGTGGACATCGAGAGTCCATTGCCACAGGCACTCCTGGTGTCCTTTCTTGGGACGTAGCTTGACCGTCTGCGCCACCTTCACTTCTTGGGAGAAGGTCGAGCTGCCGATGTCATAGCCCGCCGCCTTCGAAGCGATGGCAGCGGCATCCATGAAGTTCGGTTCACTAGACCAGTCTTGACTTTTGGAGGTTCCCTTCTCCAACATGTAGTCTTCGCTGGTCATGGCGCACTTCAACCTCTCCCAGCTCCCTGTCACTTTGGAAACAAGCACGGTGCAGGTTTGCATAATAGGAAGTGGAACCCAACTGAAACCATTGTTCGTGAAGATGTTGCACATACCGTCACTCAGGCAAAGCAGCCGTCGGGCGAAACTTCCCATCCTGTGAACGACCCCGGGCACTTCTTTGCACATGTTTCATCCGTCCAGCTGGAGGATGATGTATGTTGGACTCCATGACCGCCTGTACATCCTCGCCTTGCACACTTGTAGTTCTTGTTTCTCCCATCAAAAAGAGTTACGGTGTCCTTACTCTCCGCCTCTGGGGAGCTCTTGGGACTCCAACTCTGCCTGATGATCACAAAGAAGGACGCACACACACACAACCATTGCCAAAATGCCAACTCGCAGGGCAAAACCCTGCCAGTTCAACGGGTTCTTCACTTCCCCCACCTCCTTTTGGCCCTCTGGCCCTTCTTCCAACACATCATCACGCACCAGGCTTCGCTGCTCGTGGAGCATGTCCTCTGGGATGTGTCTACCTGCTTGGTGTACGCCTTTGAGCCACTGAAATCTGGGGCATCTGCACAAAATGCACAAGAGAATGGACAATTATCTATAAAATGATATATATATATATAGACACATATGACTCATATGACATACATAATAAACATCTAACACAACCTTCACCTATATATTTGTGTTATACCCTGGGAGTCAAAGACTATAAAAAGAATGGTCTTTAGGGGGGCCTGAAAGGGAACTTCCTTTGCTTCAGCCGGTCAATATATAGTCTTTGGACTTCTAGGGTGTACATAAATATATCACTTTGCTCAGCCCAGTGCCTTAGTGATGGCCAAAAAAGTTTACTGTCGTTTTTGGGGGGAAGGACTCCCTAGTCCTTGCGGCCCCTTGATCGTTCCACCCACTCCCCAAATCCACGAAAATCGAAGATATTGGAAGTGCCCCGCCTCATCCTGGCTCGCTCTCAGCCCCTGCTTTGGAAATCGGTGGTCTGTAGGTCCGGCTCAGCGAGCCTTTCCAGCCTGCTACTCTTTGAGCCAAGAGTAAGCTCCAGTTGCGTTACGTTGTGCAGTTACGTTCTTACGTCGATCTTCGATGTGTGCGGCTGGCGGACAGATCTTCGATGTGGCTGGACTCCTGGACCCTCAAAATCCCTCAAGTCTCGATGGCCGATGGGATCACAGGCATGTAGAGTCTGGGGGACTGCATCATCTTCATCTCTCTTCAACGCTACTACATCTGGCGTCTTTCCAGATGTCACGCCGGCATGCCTTCATGCGAACTCCGGAGTATCAACACGATCAACACCCCATCGCCGGAGGTCAACAAGCTCGGCAAGGTCAGACCATACATTACCCAGCTGGACCATTTTTGAGGTGATCCATTACACCCCATCGCATCTGGCCCAATTGGGTCCGACTTCTTGGTCGATGCTTCCAAGGAAGCACAAGGTTGTTACGCCTGTCCAACCATATGGCATCACTAAGACAGGTGAGGACACAAGACTTGTTCCCTGGCTTTCACCCTCTTCAGGGTCAGGAACTTCTCAACCACCATCATCTAACATGACTGCACAGCAAACAACCCAGCATGGACTTTCTCACAGGGGCACCCTGGGGCACCCCGGAGCACCCATGTCAGTCCAACTTGTCCAGTGCACCCCCCAGACTTTTGAGCACATCTCCCAAACAAGCCGCCCTAAGTGTTGGGCCCCCCCAAGTCGCTCATCCAAGTGATTCCAATGAAAGACCCATAGAGGCTCCGGGCGACCTGGGGGAGGCTCAATTTCAATTCTGATGGAGGCCGGGTCATGAGGCCCAAGTCCTTCTTCTTCAGGACCTCCGCCATGCGCAAGCGCATCGTCGGGAGATTCCTCGGTTTTCCACCGAGCAATCCGACGAATCGCCCATGGGCTTCATCCCAAAGTTGCCAGATTCGGTCGCCCAGAATCCCCCACAGAAACTGTACCTATTAGTCATATGAGTGTATTGTACCAGTTTTTCACGTATAACATTGCAATACATTCGTACACCGTACATCATTGTATAGTAACAATTAGTAACATACGTCATACGTCATCACATCTTCTGGGTTGGCACTCTGAACCGGATGACAGAAGCTCGTCTCGGTGTTCGACCCAGCGGCGCTGGGCGCTCGTCGGCCTCGACCCCTTCGGGCGGTTTGACCGAAAAGGCCATCGCCATCATGGCGTTGCCGTGCTCCTTCACGAAGCTTTGGCCTGGGTGCGGCCAATGGCGGATGAAATGATAGAACCGAAGCAAGAAGACAACCATAGGCACACAGTTACGGTATTTCTTGGACTGTGTGGAATTTAGAGATTGTTAGCTCTTGTTTTCCGGTGACTGGTGTTGCTTTTGGGCTGTATATGGTTTTGATTGGTTTTGTATAGTTTTGTATGGTTCGCTTGGGGATTCGGTGGCAGGAATTCTCAAGTTTACGAAAGTCAACTGGATGTGGTCTTAGATTGCATGCACCCCTTAACAACGCCACAAACCACAATTCATGAGAACCCCAATGGAGTGTTGCGGCCCCTCCACTCCCAACCGAGTAGTTGTGGACTCTGTCCCAGTGGCAGTCGTTGATGGCGCCGGTGGCCTCTGCCGCTTTGGAGTCCATGCTGTTGGCCTTGGTGAACCACCAGTGCTCAACGGTGCACCTCCGTGTGCAACGGTCCACCTCCGTGTGAGTCGGGGCCGGATGCGCCATACTGGGGGTCCTTGGAGCCCTGAACGGGCATTCATCCCCAAATGTTGCGGTAGGATCATACCAGGACCATCCTGTTCGAAGTCATCTGAGCGGATAGTCCAGGGAGGAGAGGTCGATGCCACTCCTCCCCCGAACGGAGGAAAAGCTTGACAGCGGCGGGGCACGAGCTTTCTGGTGTTCACTGGTTTGGGAGCCCCCACGAGCTTGGTGACAATCTCCAACTTCATGTCCTCACGAGCATTCACGAGCTCTGAGAGGAAACCGATCTGGGATCACTCCAGAAGATTCTAGCAACACTCAGCCCGGCAGGTGGTGCGACAATTGGTTCTCAATTCTGGAGCATCGTTGGCCCAACCGTTTACAAAAGGTGGCTCCTTCACTCTGAAAGATGGGCACATTGTATCCTCGATTCAGTGCCCTCATACATAGATCCAGTGACATTGTGAGACCATGAAACCATGTGACACCCAAATGGTGCAGTACAAGTCACGGTGGCAGTCCAAATGTAGACTGACTCTAGGCTCTAGACTACATTCTTTTACGGCTCTCATCTTGCTCTTACATGGGACGTCTAGGCGCCAAACTCCTCAACGGAGCCCCCTGAGGTGTTCAGGGGGGAACCTGTGAGGCACAATCATCGAACTTGGAGGGCGCCCTGGTCCAAACCACAGGTGAGCTGGTTCTTCTTTGGGACACCAAACCCATCTCTGGTCCACCTTTCGTCTTCCTCAGGTTAAACCAGCAACACTCCCACCCTTCGCACACCCCAAGTGCCACCCAAAACAGTTTAAAGATGTTGCGTGCCCACCTCGCTTCAACCTGCCCAGAGCCCCCCCCCACTCGCCGGCGTGCGCGTGGCAAGCCCGTCGTTCCGCCCGGCCCCACGGCGGACCGGCAGTGAAGGGGGCGCCTTCTCCGGGCACAGCTGTTCCGCCGAGGCGGTGAGCTGTTCCACCAGCTCCTCGGCCGTCGCCACCTGCCGAAGAGGGACACAGGAGACATCGACCCGCAGCTGCCTACGCGTTCTCCACCCGCTTGGCAAGTGCAAGCTTTTTTCAAAGTGTTTCTGCCGTCCCAGGCGTTCCCAGTCAGTTTTCGCCCCCGCCTTCTCGCCCAGCTCCCGAAGCAGTTCCTCCGCCTTCTCTTGAGCCTCCTTCTGCTTCTTCATCTGTTCCTCTTTGCCTCGGTGGAAACCAGAGGAAAGACCCAACAATGGGTGACCGAGACAGAGGAGCAAGCGCCTCTGGGTGACCCCTATGAGATGCTCTGGGTGAACCTCTCTCTATATGTGCCTCTGCTCCTGCAACCAGAGCATCCTTCAGTGGGTGACCAAGACATGGACCCCGAACATGGCAGGACCCATTCCTTTTCCCAGATCAAATCTCCTGTCCTTCGATCTTAGTTGGGCCAGAAGGCGCAGCTGCAACCTGCCCAGACGCGGTTCGCTCCTTTTTCGGATTCGGCGTGGTCGCCTCTGTTCCTAGCTACGTCAGCAGCTACTAGCGGCTACTCTGTTCCTTTGACCTCCTCCGGCACCTCTTTGGTGAAGGCACTCTGCGAGGCGTCCGCGGGCGGGAAGTCGGAGATAGGGCCATCACCCAGCTGCTTCATGATACCTCCAGAGTCTGGCTTCAAGGAACCAGCAGAAGGAGGGACTCGTGACTCATGGGCCCAGGTGGGTGGCAATTCAACAGTTAGTTGCCCACTGTGACTGCGCAAATGCTCTCACACGGTGAACTTCCTACGCGGTCTCATGTCTTTCCTCAAACGGTGCAAGCAAATGATGGCTCGCAAGCATAGGGCATAGGGGCCACCTGCAGAGGAGAAGTGACACGTCCCAGTTTTCAGGTTCACGAAGAACCAACCCACACTTGGAGCTGCACGACTCAAAAAAAGCCACCTATATACCTGACCTACCTCCACCAACTGAGCCTACCTCCGAAACACCCTCGAACCGACCCTCGAACCCCTCCAAGTCGCTCGTTGCGGCAGCGATCATGGAGGACGCGTCGCCGGCATTGGCCGGGACGACGATGGTGTTGGACTTCTTTGCGATCTCCTGGCCAAGCGCTGTGGCCGGGCCGAGCCCCAATGAAATAGGCCTGACATGGCCTGACTCAAACTCAGGTGGGCTCTCCTCACTCATGGGCTTTGGCATGTTTGGTCTTCCGACCCCCGACCCCCCTATTACCCGGGCACGCACGGTGCACATCACCTCTTCCGATCAGCCCAGGTGGGCGCTCCTTCCAGGCGGCGACCCACTGCTCTGCCACCCGCAGCTTGGCCGCGTCCGGGCCGCCCGGCACGCGCATCGCCGCGCTGATCATCTCAATGCCCTCCGCGGTGGCCCGCGCGCGCTCGCGGATGGCGGCGGCGTCGCCTTTGGCCTCGAAGAAGACCGGGCGGATGGGAGGCAGGATCCTAAGCAACCTGCTGGGGGGAGGACAGGTTGGGCGCCAAGTTGGCACGTTTCTGCCTGGGAAGGGGACAGAAATGGTTTCACCCAGCGGGGGGGGGCAATGTCCACTATGGTTTGCGCAGGCTTCCGGAGAACTGGGGTGCGAGATCAATTGCCTGAACTAACACAACCAGAAGGCGACCAACCTGCAACGTTGTTCGTCGACTCCGACCCGAACCTCCAGCTCTGCAGTTTCGACTTGGAGGAGAGTGGCGGGTTCCCCAAGCAGTTGAGGGGATTTTAAAGAACACACCACAGGACGCCTCACCCAAGCCATCCCGCCTGGTGAATGGCCGCCTGCATCTTGCCTTGCGCGTGCGCGTGTGCATCTGCAAGACGCGAGACTTGGACGAGGGATGGTGAGGACAGGAAAATATGCAAGGCGTACAGTCCTGGAAAACGGACCATACCGCATTCACTGTAAACAGTGCCAGGTGCCGTACAGTGCATATGATGTCTTACTCCCCCCACATTAATTAGCCACGCCAAAATCCAACCAGGCCGCCGCCCCACCCGTCCCCACGTCGCGCGTGGCCGCGTGGCCGCGCGGCGGCACGGCACGCGTGGCCTTCGGCCAAGTTCACCTCGCTCTGCCGGTCGCCCTCGCTCTGCAGCACCTCCGCACGGCGACGGCGCTCGGCCTCGGCTTGCATCTCCATGGCCTGGCGAGGGCGTTCGAGCGGGGCTGGGCTGGGCGCTTCTGGCGCAGCTGGAGCTGCAAGAGAAGGTGGATGGATCTGGAAATCAATAACTTCCATCTCTGGAAGCCTGGCAGTGGAAAGTCAAAGAACTTGAAAGACCTAAAGTAATCATCCGGGCATGAATCTTTTTGTTGAAGTTGAAGTGTGCACCTTGCCTGCTTGATGGAGGGCGGCGGGATAATGTCCTCGGACTCTCCACCAACAACTGTCAAAACAAGGCAGGGGCAATTTGTTTTGTTCCAAGGGTCCATGGCTATGTTCCATGTTCACTTTCCCAGGTGTCATGCTGAAGAATGGACTCGCAAGTTCCCCCACAGTCATCCTCGCGGACGGAACCGCTGACACCAAGCAGCCCTAATCTCGTAGCGCAGCACCTCGATGCCCCACGCGTGTGCCGCCACGTTTACGGCGTGCACGATCGCCTGATGGACACAGAGACTGGGGTGGTTGGAGGATAGGACCCGACCCACAACTCCACGAACCCCTGTGGATCCACCGGGGGGTTCCCATCACCGCGTTGGGACCTCTCATTCCCCTCCCGAAATCCACAATAGTTGCTCATAGTTGCTCGGTCTCACATCATCGAGACATAAAGACACACGAATAATCCACCTCCAAATCTGCCAGCAAGATGCTTGAGTCGCACAACCCAAACGAGAATAACTACTATAAGACTAGAGACGACCAAAGAAAAAACTCTCCATCTTTGCTATAATATCACCTCGATCTCTCTCCCAACTCCCGCCCCTCATCCGACGCCTGGTTCATGGCATCCCGTTCCTCGAACGTCCGATCCAGCGTCATCTTCCCGATCTCCGAGCGCATGGAGGTCTGCGCCAGCTGCGTCACCGCGAAGAAGGGGTCGTGCACCCCGTAGGACGCCTGGGCAGGTGAAAGCGGCGAAGCACCACCGGAAGCACCAGCACCGGCTCAAGCGTGCAAGAGGGAGTATAGATCCGTGGTGACCGCGGGCATGGCATGGCCCCTTTCCTTCGGATGACCAGTCCGAAGACCAAACAGGTGGTTGATCACACCCGTGGCGAACTCACTCCACTTCCACCATTCCGGTGGAGGGCGGGTGGATGGTTGGATGTCGTCTGCATTCCGGGTCAGGAGCACTTGGCTGTCTCGACCTGACCTTCTTTTTGGAGTCTTTCAGCAGTGAACCTTCTGAGGAACAGAGTGGGTGTGAAGAAAACAGCCAAGTCAGCACTCAAAAAGTTGTGGACAAGCATGGCAAAGCGTATCAGTTGCATCAAATCTGCAGCGCCGATTGTTGATCTGAAGCCGGTGTGCCAGCCAGGAATCTCGGATATCTCATATCTCAAATATCTCTGCAGTTTGACCCCCCAAATGCTGGCGTCATCCTCCCACTTTAAGAGGTTTACCCAGAACTGCGTGGAGAAAGATGCTCCTCACCCAAACATCCCACCAGCGCCAGCGCCTGGTAGGCGTCGACCACCTTGAGGTACAAGACTCCATCGATGCTGATGGTCACATTGTCCTTGGTGATTGCCTGTCGGCACGGGTAATGGGGCGATGTTGTGGTTGAATGGTCCAGATTCAGATGGAAACACTAGGGCCACTAGGGTATTTTGAAGAACTTAAGGTCGAATTGGTGTTTTTTGAGGTGTTTTGAGCCTCTACTAGTGCCGATGCCAGAATGAAGGCCACACTAAATACTAATCTGTCTGTGTGCCTTTCGGTCTGGTCCGCCATGCGCTGTGCCGAAAACAAGAAAATATATATACATTTACGAGTCATTCACTCTCCACCACCACATGCTGAGTGCTGGTGCCCGGTGGCCTGCTGGTTGGGGATGGCAATGGCCTCCTCTTTCAAAGAGTGAGCATACGCCACCCGGTCCACCAGCGGTACGAGGAAGTGAATCCCTGGATCCAGAACCTTCTGGAACTTCCCCAAGCGTTCCTGAACGATGGCAGGCTCAGAGGGAGTGGTACACCCAATGGTACATCGACTCGCGCGCGACGAGTGACGCGTGCAACAAAGTTCTAGACCAAGTCAGAGATAGTCAGAGTGCTCTTGTGCCTTTGTCAAGAACTATATTACAGTAATCTATATATATTATATATTATACTTTCAAGGTGAACTACTTCAGGTTGTACTGCAAACCAAAGGGAAGTCTTTATATTTAGTGTTCTAGCACCCAGTTGACCAAATCTTCTCGGGGATGGTGGGTAACTGCACAAATACAGCAAATGCCTCCAGGCTATACTGGTCACCGGTGAGACACGGATCGCCGCAACCTAACCAAAGCTTTCGGAGCCAAAACCCTCCAAAACCCAAGTCCTTGAAATAACATGAAATAACCTCCGAACAGATCAAACAAATCGAAATCGAATCCCCCAAGACTACGAATATCAACACTCCAACACCCTCCTTCCCCCACCTCTACTCAAATCCCAGCTCCCTTTTCCAACCAGGTTTCGATCACCCAGGCGATTTGCTGAGGCACTACTACCACACCCACATGGAAGCGTGGCGCGTGGCTCCCCGCCCTCTTCTCGGGCGGCGACCCCATCCCGGTCAGCGCCCCAATGGAGAGCGCCCTGACCGCGGTCGAGGGCGCGGGCGGAAGCCGCGGGCCGCGCCCCAGGCCGGGCCAGTGCCATGACCGCGGGCGCAGCACGTGCGGGCGCATCTTGAAGCAGTGAGGTGGGTGGAAAGCTGGAGTGGAAGGATGGCGGTGCAATCATGTGGTTGGACCTACGTAGTTACATGTATTTACACACGGCGCGCCGAAAATTGGAAGCCAAACCTGCGAAGCTGGGCTTGCTAGGGCTCTTGGTTCTCAGTCTCACTCATGTCATCCGCACGGTTGCTGGCAGAGCTTCCAGCCATCTCTCCATACCTTCGATGTTTCCTGGGAGGTCCTGAGGATCCAACGCTCCTCCTCTTGTCTCTTCTTCTCTTTCTCCGCCTCTGCCCAACGAGCTGAAGAGCAGGCGTCGCGTCGCGTCATGGCGGGCGGCTGCGGGGTTTCGTGCTGCGGATGGAGTTTCAGAAGCACCTCCTCCTCCTTGGGGTGCTTCGGATTCACCTCCTGGAAAAAGGGGGGAAAACATCGGTTAGCTTCAGTGTGGATCCTTACCTCAATGCACCCCCCTTGCCAACCCGAGCAACATACCTCTAAGCCATCCTGGAGCACACTGCAGAATACAACCTGTCAAGCCTATGGCTAGGCTATTGACCTTGGCTTTGGTATGTTCAGGTGGTCGATCTACCTGGAAACCGTGCAAATTTGGGAAAACAACCATCCACGCATCGGTTGCGTGGTTGCGGTGCATGGTTGCCATTGTGAGAATGGCCTAGTGGCTCCAAATATGCAGGAAGCCCCAAACGCCAGAGACAAACCTCGCCAGGGCACTCACAGTCAATGTCACCCGCATGACTCACAACCTCTAAACAGATCGACCATCGATCTATGTGGCAATCCCTCTGCTCTTGGATGACCATCCTCCGCCAGACACCCCAGCCTCAATGCGCTTCATGGTGATCTCCACCGCCTGTGCGCACTCGGCCTGCACCTGCGGAGGCGGCCAAGGGGGCCAGGCATTGAACTCTCTTCGAATCCACCGGAAGGTCAGTTGGACGAAGCACAACTCCGCGTCAGAAACGATGGTTTTTCAGAAGCTCCTTTCGCCTTTCACCTTCCGCCTCCAGGACATCTGCTTCTTCCCATCCCTGCCTTCTCCGCGTTGGCGCCGCACAAGGGCAATTGTTGTGCCATCAACTCGGCCAGTTCCTGTGGCTTCGGAGCTGTTAACAGCTGTGCATGGACCAGAGCTTTTGTTTTTTCGAACGTTCATGGACACTTTGTATTGTATATATATATATATATATCCAGGAAACCACGGGTTGTACAGTAGACTCTTTCAGGTTGCCATTCTCAGGGTGGGTCCATGTTAGTTTTCGGAAATGCACTCTCTCCACCAACCACCTACAGTAAAGCTTGGGTCTACCCTATTGCCAGTAACCGTGGATGATGATCGTTAGTAAAGACCTGTCTTGCTGACAATACAGGTATTAGGACAAACCCAACGTAATACCTGGAATACCATTTCATAGGACTCACCATTTCAAGCACTCTTTCCACCTACCGCCAACCACCTAAAGCACACTAGTCACACAGAAAGCCCGTTCTCTCCTGTTGGGCCGTGGACAAGTCTTGCTCCTCCTTGGCCACTCGGATCTGAGCCGGCGCAGAAGAACGTGCGGCGTGGCACGGAACGTCCAACGTGGGTGGGTGGAAGTCCGGCGACCAAAAGGAACTGATGGGTGAAGATGGTGAAGTGCTTGAGTATCTTGGAAAGATACCATTGGGTTTTCCATGAGAAACCGATGAAAATCCTTTTCAAAATTAAGGTGAAATTCCAATGAACTGATGGGTGTTCAATCTTGGAGAAGAAAGTCCCAAGCTCCGGAACCAGCCATGGCCCTTGGACCACAAAAGCGCGGGACAAGATCCAGCGGCGAGCTCCGCCGCCCTCGCGACACCGCACGGTCCGCGCCTTCTGTGCCAGGAAGTGGCGGAGGGTCATCGCGGCCCTCTGCTCGTTGTGCTGCCGCTTGCGCTCCTCAGCCAGCCTAGGCAGAGTGTGGCTTCTTAGACGGCTTGGATGGCTGATGACGAAAGACCCTTTCTGCCTTGTGTCGTGCACGAGTTTGGACGAGATGGATCAATATCGGTCAAGCTCCATTCCCACCGCAGCGCAAAGCCACTACAGCATTTTTCTCGCTCAACCCCTCCCATCCCAACCTCTTCTCCTGCTCCATCTTTTGCCTGGTGAGACTTTGGACCAAGTGCAAGAACCAGACACAGAGGGAGTGCGACTGGGACATCCTTCATATCACACTGCCCAAGCCAGGTTGTATGATAGCATCTGATGGCAGTTTTCCATGCCTGAGCCACAGATGTAGTAGTACAGTAAATGCTCAGTGTCGTTTTAGAACATCCTAACACGTTATAGTGATATTGCATTTATGCAGGCCATCCAGGCTCTAGCCGACATTATGAAAATCAGTGGGCCCATCTCGCTGGATGCCGGATATTCAATGAAACCCTGGTACAACAATGGCAGTTCTCCTCCGACATCCGACCAAAAACCATGCACCGTGCAAATCAAGAAACTGCTGAATCTCTGAGTCGGCCCTGGAACAGCGTTCCCTTTCTCCCCTCCATCTTCACCCACCAACGCCAACATCTGCAGCCCGCCCCGTGGTGCGCCTGGTCATCTCCTCCATCTTCATCCGCTGCTCCGCGGCTTTTCGCTTCACCTCCTCCTGTTGCCGCACGCGCGCCTGCCAGAGCTGCAGGTCTTGGCTGTCCGGTGGTTCGGGAAGAAGCCGAGAAACTCGCAGGGCGCATGCCTCCTGTTTTTGAGGGGGACTGCCTCAAGAGTTCCACAATCCAAATGGATTCTGTGGGTCATCATCAGTGATGTTGTGCTCTTGAATTGTCTTCTCATAAATAAACGGATCCTGATGTGGTCAATCATCCTGCATGAACTGCAGCTGTTTGGTACTTGAATGGGACACAAAGGGCAAAAACATTACGCAGCTGCCAGGCCCAGGCCCAGCTATACAGTCTCCTATAAGTAAAACACTTGAAAGTATAGGACTTTGTTGTATGGCCATACGACGTCGCTCAATTCTGAAATTTGCCGAGGATTGCTACACCACTCGGATACCAGAAGGTGTAGGAACCTTGGTGAAGCCACTGTTACATGATGGTGTCCCGTACACGTTGGTTGGGAACTGTTGGCAACACTTTTCGTTCCTTGTCCTTGGGAGCCCGTCTTCCGCCAGCCTTCCTCGCTGATCCTCGAGGTTGCACAACTACACCAAGGATCGCGATCCATTGGACCCCACGAGCTTCCCCAACCAGGCCCAAAAAAAACAACCATCACGTGCACCGAGGGTGCATGATGACCCTTTCCGCATCACTTAAGCTATCGCGCACGTTCGCAGGTGCTGAAGTGTGAGCGGCGTCGACCGACCTTTTTTGTCGTTTTTTGGTAAACTACAGTTCTAAACCTTGATTGCACATTCTTCTCCATGAAACGCCCTGGCCTCTTCTTGCTGTCTTCTCGCTTCCTCCTGTCAACCCGGTTGGAAGCCCCCCAAAACCCCAGCGGGGACGAGCGTACTCAAAAGCCCAGAACCTCGAGGGGCTGCTGTTTCCCTGTCGCATTGGCTGCCACCACATCGACTCCGAAAAACAAGCCCTCACACGGCAAGACGAGAGAATGTGTCCGCTGCCCGACCGAGGTGCGTCCGCCTGAAACACGGGCCCAAACCCAAAATGAACAGAGTTGCAACCACTATAGGTCTACAGGTGCGTTTCTGTATAGTGTCATGGTCAAGGACTAAATCAGCTCGCTATGGCTTCTCCTGTTTCTTCTTCATCTCGGACATTTGTACCGCCTTTTGCTGCTGCGCGATCATTTGCTGCTGCATGAGTTCCTGCTGCTGCTGCTTGATGCGCTGCTCGGCCGTTTGGTACGGGGAGCTGTAGGACGACAAGTCGGACGACGGGACCTCAGGCGCGCTCCGTGCTGCGCTGAAGGTCGGCCCTGACGGACCAGGGCGGCTCCAGAGACGTTGATTAAAGTGAACCATCTATCCTGCGGCATCTGTACATGTCTTTACCCCCAAACTACAGGTTTCCGGTAGGTTTTCCCTCTACACCACTTCTGGGATCAAACCATCGTGGGCCCCGACCCACGAGAACACGGACCACGTGGTCTGGCCGTGAACGGTCTCGCTTCACCTGCAGTTCGGCCCCAGCAGCGACAGCCAAAGAACCTCAAAAGCACCCACCAGTCGTAGAGTCGTAGAGGTTAGATGATGTTGATCTGATCTTTTTGCTGGAAAAAAAGATGCCTTCAAAAGGAAAAACCCTCTGAAATCCTCTTGGTTTGGAGAGGCCCCCCGGGTCGCCCCAAAACACTCTCCGCCTCAAAAAAGCCTCGACTCACAACCCCAGTGGCGTGGGCCGTCTGCGAGGCCGTGGTGGGCGAGATCAAGAAGCTGTTGTCCACCGGGCCGTCATAGGGCACCTTCCACCCCGTCTTGGGCGGCGTCATGGCGGTGGACGATGGATGGTAGGCCCAGACCTGGTCGCCACCCACCTGGAGCTGCGGCAGAGCACTTTATTGCGAGGTCAGCTCGCCACATGTTCATATTCTCACCGGAAGACACAACACACGAGAGGAGTGACTTAGTTCTAACAATTCTGTTCCAGACTGTCTGTCCAACGAATTCTCATCTGAGCGACGTTGGTCCACAGATGTGATCATTTCACGAAGGGCGAAGGGCCAGATTCTTCCGGGGCCCCTGGCTCTTTGGAATGGAAAAACGCATGAAAAACCCTGCTTCTTCGCCAAAACGCTGAAACATCACCGCACCCACCCACCTTCCACCTCCGCCTCCGCTCCTGGCCTTGGGGCCGAACCACCAGCCGCAGAAGCTCGCACCATCGCGGTCGTCCCAGTAGTACAGCCTCGGCTTGTGCCGGGCCGAAGCGAAACCAAAAGATGGAGTCAGACCAGCAGTGGTTGAAGAACCCTAGAGACTATATACCTATAAGGTCACTATAAGGTCACTACCCTACAAGGTCACTATAGGTACCTATAGACTATCCTATAGCAGTAAGGTCCTAGTTCAGGTCACTTAACCTGTGTACAAAGGAGAGAGAGAAAGAAAATGCACATCATGATAGAAAGCAACTTTCTGCAGTGTCCGGGTGTTTTTCACTCGACTGCTTGAGGCCACTGAATCGCTGCTGCGGGAAAGGTCTTTTTTGAATGAGAATGAGGGGCAGCTAGGCCCGACGAACAAATCCAACGTACAAAGTGAACATGAGAAGTTTCAGTCCCTTGTTGGGCAGGTCCAGTTCAGCCCAGTTTTTCTCAGTGCGGTGCCAAAACTGAGAAGGAAAAAATAATCACCTAAATATAATGAATCAATGCGCAAATCTGATTCACTAAGGACCCTGGATAAAACACGCTTGCGAAAATCACGACCTTCCGAAATTTCAGAAAAGAAGGCACCTGTCCAATGTCGGCCCTTTTTTCAAGATCCCTAAACCACGTCCGCTCCAAAAGATGGCACCATGAACCATATCCAGGTAGCTGCACGTCCAAGCCGTTCACCTGCGCATCCTTCTTGTAGGTCGGTCGCCCGTGGTTCTGCCCGTTGGCGGTGAAGTTCCCGCGCACGATGCCCCCCACCGTGGTATGGGTGCAGCCCGTCACGGAGAGGTGGGGGACACTTCCCACAACATCCTGCAGGCAGAAAGTGGTCAAAATCGATCAATGATATCTATCATGGGTTTCATAGACTTGACATCTTCGGAGGGGCAAACACCATGAAACTCACTATAGATAGGCTACTTCAACTGGGTGTTGTTGAAGCCATGGGTGCGAAATGGTGTGAAATGGTCTGAATTGTTCACGCGGCTGTTGTGAGACAAAACACGTATGGGCACATGAGTTTGCCATGTCCTATGCCTCACTTCATGGCCTCAACTTTACCAAAGGCACCAAACGCACCGTCCTCGCTCGCGGTGGACACTATGGCTCTGGAGGCCTCCTGGCACACGGACATGTTGGGCCGATTCGACCCCTGAAATCCCCTGAAGCCGGCCAGTGTTGTGCTCATCTGCGAGCTCATCCCATGGTCCCGTGTTCTGCCCCACCTGCCGCGGGGCGGCAGCGGCAGCCGCCTGAGCCGCCTGAGCTGCATAAGCAGCATAGGCCTGGCTCATGGTGATCTGAAATGGGGCCCCCCTGGCTGTTTCTTCACCTTTTGGGGAAGTGAACTGATTGGATTCGGATCTCCCAAAAAAAATGAAGAGTCGGGAAGAAGAGCCATCGTAAACCCACAACTTGGAACCCGCCATCCCAAAAAAAGAGAGACGAGACACGACCAAAGCCAGTAGTTTTGGTTGGAGACTGTTGACTCTTGATTGTGAAATGGCTCACTCGGGAGGATACAGCATCATACAGCATCATCCACCGCCGAACACGTTGGACTAGAACACCCCAATTAGGTCGGTGGTCCTTCACCCCGCTAGTCTTCACAACTGCCCAACCTGCTGTGCAGTGGTTGCTGCAGATGCCGGAGGGCTCGCTGCCGCCGACCCGTAGCCTGAGCCGTCCCCATTTGGCAGTGTGCGAAAGAGGGAAAGAGGGGCGAAGACGGGGAAACGACCCATCTGGCTGGAACAGCGAGGCCCCGAGTCCAGGCTTTGCCGAAAAGATGTGGCCCATTGGCCTCTAACATACTAGCGATGGCCTCTACCCTAATAGCAATGGCCTCCAACCTACTAGCGATGAACATCTGTATAGAAAGACCTCATTGGCATACCTTCCGTGGCTCTCTAGTGAATAGTCCACGAGAAAGACATGCACCAGTATGCATTCTTGGAGCTCCAAACCCACTCCGGACGAGGAGGTGAATTACGGTACGGGATCCTTGGCCAAGCATGTTCCAAGAACGCCGGTGTTTCTTCGTCTGAACTCCTCGCCAGGCCACAACGTCCGACCTCCCCGCCGGCGGAGGTCGACCCCCTTTCGACCGACCCTCCCGGCCCCAGAACACGGAGAAACCGCACCACGCGGGGACTAGTTGACCGGCGGGGTTCCAAGCAGTCTGAGTTCTACGGAGCAGAAGGGTCCACGCCCCATGATGGTCCAGCCCATGGCTCATGGCATGTTCGGTCTGAAAGTGCGTTGTAGGATCCATGGCTGAGTGAGCCTTTCATTCTTGGAAACCCCAAAAAGGAGGAAGCCAATCCCATCTGCCTCGAGGATACTCCGCGGACCGCCCATAAGACCTCGGAACATTTCAAGCGGCACAACACACGCATGGCTACCAAGAGGACAGTATAGGATGTGGATGAATTGCCGCAGCATGCCACACAATCACCGCAAAGACCAAGCATGGAAGGCAGAGAATGTCTACTGTTGTCAGACGACACCTGCACCATCAAAAAGGAAGTGACACACCAGCGGTCTTGCATGCCTCAGATGGTGTTTAGCCGTTAAGCTTGGTGGTCCTCGTTGTGTTCAGTCAAAGGTATTCAGATATGTACACGTATATATGTATATTGTGTGTGTTATATAAGTGGAGTAGCACCGTGGATTACAGCCCCATCCAGGAGAGCGCCCAAGGGTGGATGGGATGGGATGGGAAAAAAGAAAACATGAAAAGCCTTTGAATGGGGCGTGCCCCCCCTTAGGTCCGGTTAGACGTGGAGCGCCCTGCGAACCGCGGGGTTCGAGTCCAATGAACCGACCCGCTCCGAACGCCATCCGCCAAGACACTGGGAGGTCGCGGACGCCTCAGAGACCCCACAGGTGGATGCTACACACCCAGGTGGTTGCAGTGCTTGGATGCACCTGCTGGGCGCCTGGTGGGCACCTGCTGGGCACCTGGACAGCATCTTTAGAGGGTTGGTCAATTTACATGGTTTCTGTCCTGACAAGGGGGGTCGACCTGGCAGCCATCTCCTCTTTTCGTCCTTCTGTGCTCACACCATTGGTTGACGTCCGAATGTCTGTGACATCCGGAAAACACCACCACTGGTGGCACGGTGGTTGATCGAACGATTCTGGTCTCCTCCAATGGATCGTTCGAAGGGTTGCCCCTTCGTTGACGCTTCTACCTGGGATGCTTCCAGGTCCCCCCGGCCTGCAACCAGTGGATTTGCTGTGGGGAAAACCCCGGGTGGGAAAAACGAGCACCGAACCGGTCGTCCTCGAAAGGGTGGACAAATCCAAAGATCACCCGATCCGCGAAAGATCCACCTGCAACACCTCATGATGATACCCTTGGCGACCTGCGAAGACTCGGCGCCGCGGCTTCGCCCAGCTTGAGCCGGGCTTCGACAGGTGAACCCAACGGCTGAACTCCCCACCGACACAACTCTGCCCCTGCCACCCGGTTTTCCGCAGCGCCTGCGCCGCTGCGTAGAGCTGTGGAAAGGAGGGCTGCGAGTAATAGCTCATGCCGAGCTGGCAGCCCTTCACGTACCTCACACGGTGCGTTCCTGGCGTCTTTGCTGCTTCGTGGCTTCACTTTGGGAAGTGTCGGACCACTTGCCCAAAGCCGGGTCCGCATAGCCCCGCCCTTCGAGAAGAAGACTCTACATGGCTTTTGGATGCTTTTGGGGTTGGTTGCTTCAGTCAACAAGTTGCTCTTCAGTGTGTTTCGGCTCTTGCTCCAGCTCTCCAGCTCTCCGCATGGCTGTACAAGACGAAGGCAAAACAAAATAAACTGCTTCTGCAGAAGCCATTGGCTTCCTCGCCGTCCCCCAGACCCCCGGCGCCTTTTCCCTTCGCACCACCCGAACGGACAACGCGTCCTTCGCCGTTCGGCCCCCACATCCGGCCTGGCGCCGGCCCGGCCGAAGCAGCGCCGACACCTACTAAGCCAAGCACTGCGGGTCAGCGTGGACCATCAAGTTGGGCGCCAGTGGGAAGGTGGACAGCCCTTCGTGTCGAAGTGCTGGCTTTCACATGCTAAAAGACGTGTGAAAAACTCTCAGACCGCAGAGACTTGCCCAGCAACTTGCCCAGAGACGGATGGTTGCCAAGACCGGTACGGAGAAAAGAACGCCGGCCTTACCTGACCTGGATCCACCGATGTCACCTGTCCCACCCGCCCAGTTCCGACGCCACTCACACCCAAAGCCAGCATGTTACGCACCACCAAAGCATGAAGCACAGGCCGAGCCCTGCAAGTTCCCTCGCACCCCGGCGGTCTTTTCCTCAAGCTGCGGCGGCAAACGGTACGGAGCTGGGGGTGACTAGGGTGGAGCAGCAAACGGAATCTTTTCCGTATGGGCCAAGTCCAAGAGGTCTCGGCGCTGCCAGGCAGCGCCGGCGCCACAACGGTGATGCTCTAGGTGCCTAGGTGACATGTTCCATGCAGCCGGCGGCGCCGCCCGCAAGGGGGGCGTCGCCGCTCTTGGCCCATCCGCTTGCAGGACCACTCATACGCAGCCGCAACTACACTCAGGCCTGCCCTGGAAAGGAATTCGAGCCCTTAGTCGTCTGATCGCACCCGCATCACCGGCCCCAATCGAGGGGGAACCTATCGGATTGCCTATGCTCCAGGTGAAATACAACGGCAGAACAGTGATGCTTGGAAAATTGCGGCAACATAATTTAATACGCTATACACCAGTCAGGAAGGCTTCCAACCTCAATAGATTTACGTATATAATGGGCTTTACCAGCTTTACCGAACCACCATTTGACTAAGGATTTTGCACTACAAAACCAGGTCAACCTTTATTTTAATGGTCTTGGAATCTTGGAAGTCTAGGGTATTAGCCATATGCACCTCATAGGCAACAATTTGTGCAGTTGCTTTGACTCCGCACCGATGAGCGAGCGTTCCACGAACCGCAAAGGAGAACGACTGGGTGTCCCCAGTCGACCACCAGCGATCATGTACGTCGGACTTGGTGGACATTTGGGGGGGTCGACTTTATGGTGTTGGCGCCTTCGCCTTTCGAAAAAACCATCCGACCAACAGACAAGGTTTGCGGCCGGCCATTGCAGGCAGACCAAAGTTTTGTTTCTCTTCCGACCTCACTTGGAGGCCGACATGAAAGCACATCTCACATCACAACATCCGGAGAAGCAGCTATATATATATATCCCCACCTTCCCTTCCAACACATTTCTATATCGTGTCTAACCACCATTGGTCTGCTATCTTCACTGAAGAACAAGCCGTTCGAGGAAGACCGTCGCATGTTCGAGGAAGGCATCGCATGTTCGGTGCAATCACTGGGGCACATCACTGCTTCAAAGCCTCTTATCTCACAGGCTTACCATTGGTTAAACTATAGGGTATATAAACTGATTACTATATACCCTATAGGTAGTGCTACTACTGTCATATAGGTTATATACCTATAGGTTATATACCTGTAGTAGGTTATAGGTATTACTACTGTCAGAAAACAGGCGTGCCGGCCGTTCCAAAGCCCCACCACCTAACTCACAAGTCTGACGACTGCGCCAGGAGGCAAAGAGAGCCTCCTGCAATTTGGGGCAGGTAACGGTAGGCTGCCAGTTTATAACTCTTATAGCTAGCTGTTCCATCATTGAACTCCAAAGACCGGGGGGACCCGCGGCCAAAACGGGGGAACTCACTCCCAAGATCATGGATATTACGCGCCCCCAGCATGGCTGGTGATTCCGTGGGCGGCCAACACCATGGCCCTTTCACCGTGTTTCCGTGGGCCACCGTGTTTCGAGTGTTCACCGGTCTTGCGAACAAAAAGGGAGAAAAAGAGGTGTGGAGAGTTCAGGACCCACGCGGCCTGTTGGGGGTCCAACGGCGCAACGGGTGATGTGTTGGGGGTCCAACGGCACTTCGACTCTAAAGGGAGGGACGAATCACCGATCGGAGGTGATCAGGGGATGACAGGGGATGACAGTGACGACAGCTACATCCCACACCGCGCAGTCGAAGTGAACGAATTTCTTGACAAAGTGGTCGCGCAGTCTAAGGGGTCGTGCAGCAACTGCGTGCGACATGCGTGGATGTCCTCGACATGTCCTTGACATAATAACATATTATAATAACTATATAACAAATATACCAAAACTTGTAATTACATTACATACCAGGATGCGCGCTATAAAGCACATATCGCCTTGAAGTGCAGCAGACGAGAATTCAGATATGGAACAACTCAAGCTCTCTCTGTTAAGGCCTTCTCTGGCTATATGATGCTCTGTAAATGTCTGTATATGTATATATAAGTATATATTATATATAGATTATATAGACACCTAAAAAAAACCGCCCGAATCGCCCGAATCCCAAAAAATAACCACCGAATCCGACCAACCTTGACCAAAATGTGCTTTTCAATCGGAAGAGTCGCCCTTAGTATGCTGAAGAGTCTCCCGGGTTAAGTCTTTTTCTAGGTCGAGCCGTATCACGACCCCCTGCGGAGGGTGCAGCCTCCAGCAGTTGCGGCATCCTCGGGATCAAACGCGACAAAGGTCCGTGACCCATGGGGCTGGTGCAAAAGACGTGCACTCCGGGAGTTCCAAAGGGGTTGCTTTCAACCCCAAGTGATTGGATGTGACACGGGCAGGCCCTACCCTCCAATAGGCACCCCTTTGGAACTGCTGGGAGGTATTTGGTTTGCATAGCATGTTGCCATCTGTCGCGTGAGTTGTTTGATGTCCGATTCGAACGAATGCAACAGCCGTGCCCGAAATCAGCGCGAAAGGTTTGAAGATCTACACAAAAGGTACGCAAAGGCGTATGTATACCTCTGGCATACACAATCTTACAGTACATCCTGTGCTTCACCAAAAGGTGCAGGCATCAAGAAGTTTGTTTCAGCTACCCCCCTTGTTCATGGGCAAGCCGAACCACAAGCGACCAGCATCGTTTATGCAGACACGTCTGTCGGTGTTTTCGGTGCGTTCTTCCGTCTCTTAGATCTTCACAGGATGTAAGGGGCACAACCAAAAAGAAGGACAGCCTTAAGCCCCAGAATGAGCCTTCTAGAGATGGAGTCACCTGCACCACTGCCCATAGGAGAGCCCGACCGCCAATCACCATCACCTGTTGCCTTGCGAGAATTGCTAGAACACACCGTCTTCTTTTGGCGCCAATGGCTTTGAGGCACTGTATGGACCCAGCTCAGCAAAACCTGCTCAAAGGCATGATCAAGACTTAGGCAGGGTAGCAAAAGTGTTGAGTTCCGACCTGGTGGGGAGCCCTACAACCCCCGAACTGATCTTCTGCAAGTTACATGCCCTGGCTGATCTCATCCTGGCGGCTTCAGAGGGGTCAAAGGGGCCTTCAACGATAGAACATTAGATGGAAGTGCACCAAACGAACTTCTTCACTTGGTGCACCTCTCGTGAGAGGGTCGGGGCGAGAATGACCATCGATTCAAGTGACCATGGACATCGCTATCGCTAAGGGTTTCAGCATGTTTTCAGCTAGCCTTCCAGTACCAAGCGTTCCGGAGACCACCAGGTCCACGAGCCCGTCGAGATCCCGGCTTCGTCTCCACGTGCTTTACTCCTGCTTTCGTGCCTGTTCTGATTGAACGCCTCCCCTGCTTTCGGTCTATGTTTTGGAGTTCCGCCCATCACCGTCATCACCGTCATCACATCGCATCAGTTTGCTCATCACACATCACCCGAGCCGAGCATCCGAGAGGGAATCCCCATCACAAATCGACTCCCTGTTGCCCCACGAACACCAGCCCCTCCCATCCGGCACTGGACGTATAAGCGGTTTTGGGTGTCGCGACCGCCTAGCCAACCGAGAAAGCAGCACGAATGGAGCATGGCTTTGAAAGGAAGAACTGGGGTGAAGCGACAGCTCCCGGGTGCCCAACCACCATGGCGAAAAAAGGCCCACCTCGCTCACGATGGAAACACCACCAAGGCGTTCCTTCAAGCTAGGGCGATCCCCCGTGTGGCGGAACAAACGCTTGGGCAGGCTATTGGACTAAGATTGGAACCGACCGAAGACCACGCCAAAGCCCCAAACAGCTGTTATGGTAGCTGCCAAAAGGCTGCTGGTTGTGCACTGGCAGTGCCAAAGTTTGATCGACCAGATCTACAGTATACTCATTGGAAATTCTGCGTCAGTCGAGGGATCGCGTCCCTGACACTCTGACACGTTCTTGTGCATTTATACGGTTGCACGCAATTTTCTCTCACAGAACTCACTCTTCGAGGTGTCTATTCATGGCAATATGACTTTCTTTTGATTGATTAAGGCCTTGAACCATCACGTTCCAAACCCTCTTTCCTCCGGTATGTCGTTTTCTTCCGTCGGCGGCCCGTTCACCGAAAACAAATTTTGATTAATTTTGGTGTCCGAGGCGAAGGCGGTACTCAACCGGTACCAGTAAGCCTCTATATACAGGTCAGTGGATTGCTACTAGTAGCGTCCTTGCTCCTAGTAGCAGCGGTGCCAGGAGCCCCGTTCGTAGCGAACCTTGTTCCTA